TGTAATGGCGGACTGCCAGCACTCTCGCCTGTTCGGGGGTGATGACGTTTAATGTCCCCAACAGGGTTTGTAGTCGTATTGAGCAACTTGTTAGCAACCGCCTTTTTTACGACACGTAAAAGCTTCAAAATTCACAAGTAGGGTATTTACTGACGTGTTTTATGTCGTAGAACAAAACCTGAAACTCGCTTAAGCTTTTGTTAACCACAGACCTTATTTGAGGCATTTTACCAAAATCCCATTCAAAAAACATATTGACATATTGACTAGACGAGAGTACCAGAAGTGCTAAAAGCGCTAACGGAGTTCCGGGTTTACTGGCACACTCTATTAGAAGCGCCAAAAGGCAGTAGAGTAGGCAGAGGCTTATGATGTTTTCTCACAAATTATCTGTCTTTTTTATTTCTGTGTCAATATAATTAGAGTTTCAGCAAATAAAAAAAAGTTATTTTCTTTTTTTAATAAAAATAACCAGCTGTAGCTTTAAAGAGGTAACTGGATCGACACGAAAACAATACAGAATGCCTGAGAGCCTTACTGCATTATACTCTATTATATTAATATTTTTCTGAATTGTCACCTGGGGCCGAAACTTTGTATTTTTCTTTATATACATAAAGACATTTCCACATTAAATTGGTGCAAAAAATTCACCAAAATGCAGAAAATGAAGTGTTTGATGCTCAGAAATGAATGTAAATCCCAGACAGGGTTTGGTCACAGTGGTGACTGACCTGAATTTGTGGCTGTAGGGGAGTAGACATCTGCACCAGTGTGGTCAGGGTGAGGCTGGGGGGTCTGGCCATCAGGCTCTGGTCCTGACTGATCCTTTGAACCACACCGGGACACAAACAGAAAGCATGTGTCAAGGTTCATGACAACGAGACAGCATGTAGTGTAAGACACACTGCACCGATCAGCCAAAACATTAAAACCATTGGCGGTGAAGTGAATAACCTTGATCGTCTTGTTACAGTGCAATGTTCTGCTGGGAAACCTGGTTACTTGATGTGCTCCACCCACCCGAACACCACTGCAGACCAAGTAAACCCCCGCATGGCAACGGCACTGGTCGATGGCAGTGACCCCACAGCAGGACAATGCACCCTGCCACACCACAAAAACTGCTCAGGAATGGTCCCAGGTATGGGACAAAGAGCTCAAGGCATTAACTTGGCCTTCAAATACCCCAGATCCCAATCTGATTGAACATCTGAGGAATGTGCTGTTACCCCAGAAGTGTCAAGGCATTGACACAGGACCTCTGGAGGGTGTCCTTTGGTGCCTGGCATCAGGACATTACTTTCAGATCTTTTGAGTCCTGTGGGTTGTGAGGTGGGGTACCAACACATCTTACAGATGTTTGATCAGATCAGGTTCCAAGGAATTTGGAGGCCAGGTCGATGTCTTGAGCTCTTTGTCCCAGTCCTCGGACCATTCCTGAGCAGTTTTTGTGGTGTGGCATGGCGTATTGTCCTGTTGGGAGGGCCACTGTTACTGAGGAGTGCCGTTGCCATGAGAGGAGGTACCTAGTCAGCACTGGTGTTTAGGTGGGTGGAGCATGTCAAGTAGCATCCACATGAATGCCAGAATCCACGGATTTTGAAGAACATTGCATTGTAACAAGATGATCAATGTTGGTCACTTCATCTGTCAGTGGTTTTAATGTCTTGGCTGGTGGTGTATACTTGTATGCATTTTAACACATTCACGTTAACTTATATTATGTCCACCAAAGAAAGTGCAACATTACAGCAGGACAAAAGATGAAATAAATATCCCCATGTCTCCACAGGGAGTTGATAAAGGAGTAAGAAGCCAAAAATGAAACCGTAAAAAAAAAGATGCATGACTGTTATTTATTCCTTAGTATCATACCTCTTGAGCAGGTGGGACAGATACTTCACAGTCCTCTGCTGCTTTGTTGCTTTCATCCTGCGGCTTGCTGTCTTTGTCATTTTGAACAGGGCGTTCGTCCATTCCCTCCTCCCCACCTCCCTCACCTGCCCCACCTGCAGCGCTCTGCATTGGACCTGTGATGATGACAAAGAGGTTTGATGACAGTTACAGTACAGCTGGCTAAGAGACTGTTAGTTATGTATGAGAGGGGAGGGGCAGTGCAAAAAGGGGGAGGCGTGTCAAATATTTTTTAAGCACTGGGGAAGGACTTATGTTCCTTATTTTGGTATAGGGGATGGGTCATACAATTTTAAATGGCTGTATTTTGTATTTATTTTACCCCTGATTTTAAGGAAAACATGTCTGACATATTTTCTTTAAAAATCACCAAAATACATCTATCATAGCCATAAAGTGTAAAAACAGAAATGACTGGTGGATTTTCAAATCCTGACGTTCCTTAAACACATTATGTGACACATAAGCCTCTGTCATAAAAAAAAACAAAACATAACCATATCTGAGCTTAAAGAAGTGACAATTCATCAACATCATTTTAATTTACATGTCTCATTTTAAATATTGGCCAGAAATAAACCGTTTGCACTAACTAACCATCATGCCCAACATGTGTCCAAAAAACCAAGGCTTTTTTCAACTCCAGGATTTCTGGTTCAACTTTTAACTTTCAAACATCAAAGTTTTTAAAATCTAACAACTGACTAATGGAGGAAGGAGGGTCATGCATTTTCCTCTAGATCACTCAGGGAAGCTCAAGGAAAAATATCTGTGCATGAGTAAAAAATAAATAAAAAATAAAAAAGTCCCACCCCAACCCCTCCCCTGATGAGTAGTGAACAGTCCCTAATGTACTTGCTTCTTATCCTCGGGCTGTTATATGGTTCTAACTACTCATACAACGGTTTCGACCGAGTAACTTGATTAGACGAGGTATTCCACTAGTGCTGATACAACAGCACTGGGATGCTGCAGATGTTATGAACTTTTAATTGCATTTACGTTAATTAACAGTCGTCGTAACATCGTATCGTCGTAACATTTTCGTTAGCTGTTTTTCACTTAGCGCGCTGTCGCATTCTCGCTTACCGTAGCTACGTGGTAGGCTACATAATACACAAACCCTTCAAAGCCAGTACACGTTAACACCACCTAGCTTAGCGTAGCGGCCCATGGAGCTCAGACAGAGGTTAAAGAAAACATGAACCCATAGTTACAACAGCTGCAATAGTGAATAGCTAATCTTAGCTACTGAACAAATAATATATTTATAAATAAAATGTATATCTGAATAAAATATTACATACAATTCCCTTTATTTTAGTTAAAGCTGTAGTTAACTCACCGCCGTGGCACTGGCACCAACAAGCCGGCGTACTGACGTTGCTAAGCAACCGTCAACATCCGTTGGAGGAGGAGGTGCAGCGCTCATCATCCCAGTCCAGAGGATGTGGTCAGCTCAGGGCAGCATGTCGTTGAACAAGAAGTTTGTGGGCGGGCACTCATTTTCTACTGGTATGGTAATCATTACTGAATCATTCCCAGTAGGCTCGGTTATTTACATGGCTGTCATCCTCTCCCTCAGGCCACATCCATCAGCCTAATCACGTCACATCTTATTTTCCAGGTGAATTCAGTGCACCAAATAATTTTGGGTTGCTCTGTGTTTGCTAAACTATTTATCAGGGGCGTAGCACCAAATTCTGGGCTGTATGCATAAAGTCTCTGTGGACCCCTCACCCCTCCTCTCTTCACATGTCTCTCACATGCACGCCTTGATTTTTTAATTTTTATTTTACAAAGCCAGTGTGCTTTCTTTACATTATCTCTCTTCCCTTTTTAGAACCCTGATTCCCTTTTTTCTGGAAAGACATGACTGTATGTTGGTGCTCCAGCAGCATAAGAAGAAGTCCCTCACTCAGCTCTAATTGGGCTGCAGACTGAACCATTTTGCACCTTTAAGGAGTGGGAGGGGCCTCAGAAAGCTTCCACTATTTTTAATACAAAGTTCAGCCTCAGAGTCCTGCACTGGGTTGGGTATCCGCTGGTACCTGACAGGTAACCTGTAAAAAGCTGTATAACAGGTAAAAATATGTATATATGCACATTCACAGGTACAGCACTGGTAAAAATGAACTTCATGGCAGCGGGTGAGAGCAAAAATATATTTTTCATTTTTCAAAATAAAGCTAATGAAAAAGATGTGCAGTATAAGTGTAATATGTTTACATCTAATTCAACATTATCAAGCCACAATTCCAAAATCAGTGATCCGTTGTCATATTTGTCACTGACGTGGAGGACTCCAGCAATGGAACTTTGCAGCCTGACGATGAGGTGGCAGCGTACATTGAATTTAAGACACCCAGGAGGATCCTTTTGAGGTTTTATGGTGGTGGAGGGTGGAGGCTTCTAAATTGTTTCCTAACCTGGTAGTGATTGCGGGGAATGTTGTCACCATCTTGGCATCGAGTGCAGCCAGTGAAAGAGACTTTTCCTTTGCTGGATTTGTAATTCAAGAACGGAGAACCCAGCTTAATGTGAGTGACTCTAGCCTGTGTGTGTTTAATTACGGGTGTGGGTCATGTTGCAAGACTTTTATTAGCAGGTGCGACTTTAATGGGTCGATTCTGATACTGGCTTTTTATGGGTATGGGCCGCTGCAGGTTTTCAAAAATGGACCCGTGGAGGATGATTCTAGGTCAATTTTAATTTAGTATGGTACTAATTATTTGGGAATAAGAAATTGCATTAAAAAAAAAAAAAATCCACTCCAGGCTTTTTGAGGGCCCTGGGTAATCAGTCTCACTTTTCACTCCACTACAACGCCCCTGCTCCTAATAAAGCATTTCAGACAGAGATACGGCAGGCAGTTATACATAGTAATTTCCACCACTAAGTACACTCAAGTACACTACTGTACTACACCATACTACATTAAGCCTCTTTCATTTGACAGATATAGTTACCAAGAACTCTAGATCCAGTTATTTTATTATGAGTTATTTATATTTGATGCTACACTATATCAATGCATTAGTAATAAGCTAGTGCAAAATCTGAAGCAAAAAACAAAACAAAAAGGCTTTTCATTGAGATTTATTTTGCTCTATAAATAAGGCAGATACACATAATCACTTAATTTGGCCTTAAAATTACATGAGAATTTTAAAAGTCATTAATAATTCACAGATACAAATCATGACGTGATCTACATATATCCTCAAAAATCTTATTTCATTCTGTTTATTCCAAAGAAATAGACAAAAAAAAACTGAACAAGAAAACAAACAACAACCATAACCCACCTCATGTAGTCACTCAAAAACAAATACTTAACAAAAAGTAACCAGAGCATGACAGGAAAGACAATCATACTGGAAAAACAATCCATTATGTGTTACAGTGCTTTAGTATCACAGGAGAGCAACAAATAAAAACAAGGCAAGAATTCCTGTAAACAATGTTAATGCAGGTATTGTAGGGCATTTGTAAATATTACCTCACAGTGCCATATCAATACAGGATGTGTACCTTTGAGTAGAGAGAGATCTGGCACTATAAGCCTAATCAAAGGACTTTGGTTTAGATTAGAAATATGACACAGTTAAAAATGTATTTTCAGAAAGGGAACCTGGAGATGAGGCTTTACATTCTTGGCAATAAATGCTCTACTATACAGCACGTACCTTAACTTTATCCAATTGCTGTATATACAGTATGGCAGGTAGAGTCTTTTTAAAGCACTGTCACATATCAAAGTTGGTCATACAAATTCATTTCCAACAATATGATCAACAATAACACAGTTAAAGGGATATTTCAGATTTTTTTGAAGTGGGGTTATGTAGAGTACTTATCCATTGTCAGTGTATTACAAAGAGTAGATATCAGTCAGCACGCCTCCAGTTTGGAGAAGCAGGCAGGAGTCTGACACAGAAGCTAAGCAATGTACAGCTGTGGATGGGGGTCAGCAACAAAACACATTTCAGCCACCTATAAGAAAAATCAGTATCAGTTTAAGTGTACACTATATATTATGTATTTTCACTGCTTTACCTTTCTATCAGACAAACCGTTGATTTTTCAGTTGGAAATCACTGTCTGACAGTGAGGTAAAGCAGTGAAAATACTTTCAATATAGTGTACACTTCAACGAACATTGTTTTTTTAAGGTTTTAAGTGGCTACATTACGTTTTGTTGCTGACCCCTCCACAGCAGCAGATTGCTTAGCTTTCATGTCAGACTCCAGCCTGCTTCTCCAAACTGGGGGTGTGTTGACTGACATCTAATGTAGGTAATGCATAGACTGTGGATAAGTACCTCACATGACCCCACTTCAAAAAAATCTTAACTATCCCTTTAAGCAGAAATAATGTATAGATAAATACACCACCTGGTACTCCACATGATTGAATATGAAGATATGCAAGATGAGATAGTGTTTATCGTAAGAAAACAAAAAGAAAACTTGTATTTGTGCAATAATTTTCATACCATAGTCAGAATGTGACTGGGTAAAAACTGTTGTCATACAGTAAGACCCAAAACTATCCATACATACATTCAATAGACATGTTAGAGTTCTCGTTCTTCTCATCAGACATACATTTTTATATATCAATACAAGATCAAAGTATACCAAGCATTTCTATCATTGCACTTACTGGGTTTGTCATTAGTATGGGATTTACATAGCGACTGACACTTCCTACATAATGTATGTTTGCTCTTGAGCATTATTTCCATATAGATATGGATAAGGGCATCATTGGCATAAAAAAAAGGAATCTTGGCAAATGAGGGGAGGTGTTTAGGGTTGGTCACAGCACAAATGAATACTGTTAACTGTTAACACCTGATCAAAAACCGCTCACATAAAGCCACTTAAAGTTTTCATGTTTCATATGGTAAATAAATCTTAAATGAAGTATCTGAGCTTATTCAGTATACTTTTTTTTAACCTGCATACACGCTGTTCCTTCTCAACAATGGAAGTGACAGCTTCTTCATACACTCACCATTCACTATGAAAACACCTCTAACTTCCATATACTACCTATTGTAAAACTCCACTTATTAATGCTCTATGTCTCTCTCTAGCCTCAGCAGCAACATGTCATCTGCAGGCTGTAAGGTATCTGGTGAATGCTTCCACATCTTCATATTCATAGGACTTTTTTTTCTATATCCCCATAAACATCTGTTATTAACTTGAACCAACCCATATTCTGAGCCAAAAATGACTGTCTTCATATATCAGTCCCTATTCAATAGGTTCTTACAGTTCTAGAAATCCTTCAAAGTCAAATCACCTTTTTCACTGGAACAATAAATACTACTGAACAGAGCAGCAAGCAACAGTTTGTCTTTAGTGTTTCCTTGGTAGACTCTACCTTTCTTTAAATTCTATGTGCTTTCCTCTACAGTGGGTGAAAAACCCACTCACTACAGGAATGGATGTGTGTTAAAGTAGAGTCTGACCGATCCACTTTGGCTAGAGTTCCCATTTTGAGACTTCATAAGCTCTAGGAAATACTGTAAACAATCTTCATGGCTGGTTGGAGCCAACTTTCTCTGGCTGTGAAGGCTGTGGGTCCACTGTGGGGTCAACTAAGGGCCCGCTGGCTGTGCGTGGGTCCATGGCAGAATGCATGATAGTCAGCCATACATCGTCCATGTTTGGCATGACAAAGATTTTCTAAAAGAGGAGAGACAATGATGGATGGACAGTCAATCTTTAGTATTCTTGACACATTTTTGACACAGTAATCTCTTTAAACTGATTTATCGGCCACACACTGGTATTGGCCTATATACTCCCTATTGACTGCAATCAGCTTATCAGCAAATAAGATGACATTAAACAATGTCAGTGGCCAGTATTTTTCTGTTGTGTCATATTATGTTGCACAGGCTAAAAAGCAGGGCTTTAGACTAACGGCAACCCGTTGTCCTGAGGAAAACGTGTTTGGGTCGAACAAAGATCCTACCCGGGACACTGTCTGGATGAAAGGATGCAGTAAACTTTCTGTCAGCTCATCAGAGGATGCACCCTATTGTTTGCCTGATAATGCTACATTGTGAACAAAAAAATCCATGTTGAAATCAGAAGGAGAGCTAGTTAACATTAGCCGGTGGCCAGAACTTACTGCTGATAGAGGCTTTTCTGAGTTACACTATGATGCCTTCAAGATCTATCCAGTAAAAATGACTATCGGGTGAGGGTAAATTATAACATTGTATGTAGTTTTTGGGTAGAAACTTGAATAAATACAGATATATATAATAAATAGGGATGCACTGATATGGATTTTTTCAACCGATAATTACCTGCTTCTCATGGCCGATAACTGATACGATAACCGATAATTTCACATTTTTGTTTTTAAAAAGTAACCTGTAGTTTTTGTCCACCTGAGGGTAAGAAAGGCTAAGATGAATTGAGAAAATATGGCTGATTTAATATTCCACAGCCCTGACCTAACCAAACCTAATTGATATCACTGTTGCTAACACAACAAAAACAAAGAACAGTTGTGACTCTTCCATACCTGCCAACATAATGCTGTGAAAAAAGAGGGAGATTATCTGGGGGACTGTCAAATGATGTACCCTCAACGCCCCTGCCCCCACATAACCCTACACTACAGATGAACATAATAATTACAAGGATGTGAAAGTAAAATGACTTTTAATCAGTATTAAATTTATAGTTAATGGTAAGAGAGAGGGAATTTATGAGGATCAGTGTTACTGTGTAACTCTGGGGTGTCAGTAACATATATGCAGACTGGAGTCTCTACTAACAGAGACAACCAGTGACAGCTAACTCATATGAACAGGTTGAATGTGCATCAACAGGTCTACGTTACATCTGATATATGAAATGTTCATATCATCACACTTTTTATAAACACACCCAGACGCCATCTCACCGTACCACGATAGACTAGCCTACAACTACCAAGTAGAACAGCGATGTGCTGCTGATTCACCTCACACATTAACACTCAACTCAGACAAACAAGCGTGAGGNGGCTGTTGTGGTACAATATGTTGAAAGTATACATTAATATCTGATAGTATACATATGTGACAATAGTTATATGTGTATAATAACAGTAGAAGTATGACTAATGGCTAATGATGGCAGCAGCAGCAGGAGGCATCTGGCAGGACCAAAGGCACAAAGGCTCCGGAGAAGAAGCCGAGTTAGGGACATTCAGTACGGCCGAGTTAGCAAGATGCAGTAACAGGAAGAGAGAGAGAGAGAGAGAGAGAGAGAGAGAGAGAGAGAGAGAGAGAGAGAGAGAGAGAGAGAGAGAGAGAGAGACGTGCTCCAGACTGGGTTGCCAGGTAACGATACAAATAATTGCTATAACACCTTCAGCACTGCGTATAACCTATGTCGGGTGGTCCAAGATCAGACCCCCCACCCACTGTGTTGGGTTTGTAGATGCTACCCTTGTTAAGTCAATTAAAGCAGTCTGGAGTGATACTGTCTGTGCTATTTATTGGCTATAATTTTAATTATCAGAATAATGCATAATAGTTCAAATGTCCAATTATTGGCTGACAATTTATCAGCCCGATATATATCGAGCACCCCTAATTATAAAAAGACTTTTAAAACAGATTAAAAAAAGTTTTCATGTGAAAAAAGTTTTTTTTTCACCGTTGTTTCATAAAAGATTCAATTAGTACTCACTAATGAAGGTCTGAATGACCAAAACATTTCATTTTTTTTTTTTTTTTGGATAATGAAGATTTCTTTGTTTCCCTGGCACAAAAGGGGGAATAAATAATCAACATAAAATCAAACAAATGTAATTGGTAAAATTGTTATTCTTAACATCAGTATTGGTCCAGAATTTCACAACTGGTGCATCCTTAGTTTTAAGTCTCCTATATGATCATTCTAGGATCATATGATAATTGTTAAAATGTTGGATGGCCTAGATCTTTGGAATTATTTACACTGTTAGCTTATAATATTGGTGATTTAGAACCTGGATATTATTTGTAAATATGATGGCACAGTGCAAGCATAATGCAATTTATTTCAATGGGACTGATAAAGAAGAAAAAAAAAAAAAAACGACTAACATTCTGATATAATCAAGTCCTGTGTGTCTGACTATCAGAGCCTAAAAAAAGAAAAGAAATGTAGTATCTATCAATACCTGGAATTCCTGGTCCAGTTTTTTCTCTATCCAGTCTGTAACATGAGCCAGAGTGACTTCTCTTTCTCCCAGTTTAGGGCGCGCCTTCAGTTCCAGGTGAGGTGGCTTCCTAAAGCCATACCTATGACAGAGCAGATAACTATAAACTTGACAAATAAACAAATGTAAGCAACACAGGGTACAGTCACCACCAGCAGAGGGCATAATGTATTCAACAAAGCGCTACATATTTTTTTCAATAACACATGCAGTTGCAGGGTAGAATGAATATCAGCTGTTCTGAGTAAAGATATCCTTACTGTGTATGTTTCACATGAATTAATAAAAGTATGCATCTTGTGACTAAGTAACTGTTGACATGCGAGAGGAAAGTGGCTGATTCAGAGTCATCTGAAAGCCATTGTTATCAACAGAATTGGCTGTGTTTTGTGAGAAAGTGCCATCTCTGAGGAGATATGATTGTTTCTCACTCTGGCAGACATTAAAATTCACTTTGCACAGCATTCCATGAATAACGCAGAAGAGAAACAACTCTTTCTTCACATACCATATCCTGTCAGTGGGCGGAGGGGGTATGTTGACAGCCAGCATTCCTTGGAGTTCCTGCACCTCCACTGTAAGCAGAAGGGGTGTGTTAGACACTTCCTCCATCTTCTTCTTGATGAACTCTGTCTCTGTGGCCTTCTGGAAGTATTTGGACTTAGTGATCTTATCAACGAAGCGCATGATCTTGCTGGGTTTGTGGCCTCCAACCAAACTGTATTCAGTAAAAGGAAGGTAAGAGTTAAGGCCACATACTGAATTCAGTATTATTTTAGTATTCATTTAATGGGGCATATTTCAATGTTTATGATAAAAACTTTATTGTTTCAAATATTTTTCTTGAATGATTATAACACGTATTTTCAAATATTCCATAATCTTGTGATAATGGAAATTGATTTACATGAGCAAAGAGAAAGTATATAAACTCATTCTCACCCCTCTGCTCCAGTCGAGTCATTTGAGAGCTCTGAGGAGTCTTCTTCATCTGATGAGCCCGCGCTGGATGACTCTTCATCACTATCAGCCAGGCAGTAAGTCCGTGGCCTGTTTCTGTAAACCAGTAAACACAAATGGATTAGCATGCACACACCACACCACACCACACCACATCACACACATGCATGCATGCATGCACTAACACACAAACATAGTTCTGTAGTGTTTCATTGCAATAAGTGAATGAATTTTATTGTACTGTTCCTCTGGAAACATCATTGTTATGAAAAATAATTTGGTATTAGTGTGTCTTCAATCGCATACTTGTACTGAACACTTAACATTTTGAGTGCACAAGTACGCTAAGTGTGTTCACACTGCGTAGTACAGGAAAATGCAGTGTACTACTGGCACACTCAAAACGGTCCAAAAGTTTAGTGTAGAATGATGGACACTTCTCGCCCTCAACAGTTGCCATCTTTGTGAGGTAGTGGAAGCTATGTCACAAACTTCTCAACTTTTGACACTGTGGCTGGGAACAACAATAAACCTATTAGTTATATATGTGTTTCACACTAAGTACCAATACTGTTGTAGAATAGAAGCCATAAGTAATATTTGTTGGGTCTGTAATGATTTGGTACCTCAAATAATAATGTGAATGCTAATGTTAGCATTCGCTAGCTAGCTAACTTGCGCCTAGCTATGGCAACACATTTGAATCAGCACTGATGTTATGGTTGATGTTTTCGTGGAGATAGCGGTCAAATGTTGCCAATAATGCTCCCTCGTCCCTTTGTAATTTGCCGTTTAAAAAGAAGACGAAAAAGAAAAAGAGGTGGTTAAAACCCTGTTGTCACTTCCGTTAAGTACAAAATGGCAGTGCGAGATTTGAGACAACACAACCCTATTAAAATTAGTGTACCATGCAAGAAGTACATAGTGTACTACATTGTAGTGTAGTATGTGCTTTGAGACACACTCTAAGTTAGCCTAAAAACGTTCTGCTCAGTGCGTCTTCTGCAGTGTTTGCACTGTTTCAGATAGATGTAATTTGATTTGAAACTAAATCTAAGCTTGGCTAGTTTTCCTGAGGACTAGCATAAAATGAGCTCACTTCTCATTTACTGTAGGATTACAAGAGTATGACATTTTTATGGTCTGATAACTATCTCAGAAATACCACAGTTTCACGGTAAAAGGTATTACACAAATATTATTACTATTATCAATATCAGTTACAACGACCCTTAAAGCAGTGGTTCCCAACCTTTTTCCTTAAGGGACTGCAATAACTGTGGTTCATCTGCAAGTTTGTGTAAAATGAGGGATTTAGATGAACTTATTTCCTGTGAATATTGATTCTCATATGAGTTTTCCTGATAATTTTTAGGAACCTTTTATACAATTCTCTATCTGGATTATGTAATTTTATTTTTTAAACAAACATATATACTTAATAGGCTTCTTTTATGACAAATAAAGTGTTCTTCTCACCCTGACACCCATTGTTCTATTAGCTTTTTGATTATTTTAACTACGTGCTTTTCTAATGCAGGACAAGGCTGTGAAATACAGCATGAGGGCTCTGAGAATATAGCTTATGCTCACAGTGGCCTTATCCTTTGAGATTTTGTCAAGTTTATATTTTGAATAAAAAAGTGTATTTATTTTTATATTTATTATTTGCACTAGCACTGTTGCTGCTGACGTATAGTATAATCCACACCTTATTCAAATTGGAGTCAAATGCAACATAATTTCTTTCTTATGTGCACTGTTGACTGTGTGGATTTGAATGACAATAGTTTATCTATCTATCTTGAATAAAAAATCTCAATATCTTTCTTCACAGAAGCAAATTAAATGTTGAGATACAGGCCTATTGTATATTCTTAAGAAAAGTTTTGCATCCCCTAAAACTCTGACGGGCAGTACAGGAGAAAATGACATGGGTTGTATTTTTTTCCCCCCAACACTGTACTACATGGTATGATAACCTGATAATCGTCAGTTTTTATGCTGCAATACACAATTTCACTGTATACTGCAGCAACCATAATACCGGCAATCAATCTATCCCTGAGAGGTTCATACTATGTGCACACTGAATTTTATGGATGCACTGATCCAATACACCAGATTGGCATCAGCAAAGACCAGGGCCATCATCAATTATTTAGCAAATATCTAGCATATGATTGAGGGCCTCACAGGAAAAATGCAAAGAAATGACATACTATATTATGCCTTTTTTTGACATACAAAAACTATCACTATTGCCAGTAATATAGTCTGCATAACACTCATATTGAATTATAGTTTTCAATGTTTTATACATTTCAATGTAATAAAATGCAGACGCAGTTATTTATATACAGTCAGTTATTTATTTATGATTAGCCTATATTTGCTCACTTTGAAAGGTGAGGTATAGTTGCTTGTTGTAGAATTTTTCTTTATATTTTTTAGCAGTATACTGGGTAGAGGGGACATTTTGAATATATTCGAATACTGGGGGTGGAGGGGTGGATGTTTGAAAATGGTTGTAGTTCTCCTTTAAGTGGATCGGTGATCATTGTAAAAGTCAGGGTTTTGGTGTCAATATCATAACAAAGCCTGACTGAAGCAGAGTGAAGGTACTGATAGTGGGAGAGAAAAAGTTTGATCAGTGCAGGTTGACTGTATTTATTCTGGAAGACTGTATCTTGACATGTTCTGTTCCTCTACATTGCTGAAGATGGATTTGGGGGAGGTAAACAAACAGTCAGTAAAACAGATGAAGGCACTACTAAGAAATCAGTACTTAATGAGATGAAGCACTGGGTGGTAACATGGCTAAAGACAACCCCAAAAGTATACAGGTAGAGAATGAGAGTTGCACAGAAGACCTCGTTGTTCAAAGTCAAGCAGCACTCACCAAGAGCAGATACACATCCGATTAACAGCCGCATATAGGTGGAAACCAGAAGGTAGAGAGGGAACAGCAAGAAAAGAAAGGATAAAATATAAAAGACAAAGATATAGAAAACTGAGTGAGAGCCAGACAGAATGTGACAGAGACATTTGTACTTTTTAGTGTCAAATTAAGGGGAGAAAAGCATCTTATCAAACCGAAATTACATCTTAGGGTTCTTCTAAAATGTGTGTGCTTGACTGCTCACCCATCTTTGCCAAATTCCCCAAAACGGAAGCTTTCTCCCTCCTTGCCCAGGCGAATAAGGTTCATCTTGGTTTCCAGGGTCATCAGAAAGGAACCACTGTAGGAAATCTCCAAGTCAAACCACAGACCTAAAGGGACACACTGTGGTTATTAGAAATGTTCATCTTAAGGAAAATTTAAGAAGTAAAACTGTAAAGTTGAAGATTTGGGGGTATGAGCTATGAGGAGTAAAACAGATGACGCCACTGTCTGGTCACTATATCTACACACAAGCACAGACATGATACATCAGCGTGTACAAGGTAAAAAGTACCAGTTTACAGATGCCGTAAATCAATCTCATAAATCTCTATATCACATCGTCAGACCCTATTTATGAGAGATGCATACGTTTTAAGGCCAGTTTCCTCAACAAAGAGCAGCTCGAGCCACAGTCCTTCTCCCTGCCTGTTAAATCTCTTCATCTTTCTCTCACTTCTTTGTTATGCCACCTCTAACATTCTTCCCTCACCGTCTTGCCCTTTCTGTGGCACCATTTGATCCCAAAGATATCACAGAAGTGAGGACTCCAACAGACTTTATGTACTTGATCCCTCCACTTAAACGAGAAAGACAGCGAAAGACTTGGTGAGGGGAGGCGAGAGAAAGAAGGAGAGATCACAAGGTCCTTTGAACGGAAACAGTTGGAGAGCAGGCAATCTTCCCTCCCAGCCCTGTTTGATATCAGCGGGAAGGGGACTGCATTAACAGTGCTCTCCCTCTACTCTGCCAAAACTGCTGTAATCTGGATTATACTAACTCCTCAAATGCCTCAAGGGGTAAGCTATGTGTACTCTGTCTTTTCATTTTTCTGTCTCTTATCAACAGTGGATCACATGTCCTTGTGTACAAGGAGCCACATCCAATCACGAACTTAGGTGTGGTTTCTCTTAACACCACTGGGAGGCAGCAAATGATGACAGATGACACAGGAAAGATAAATGAAGTAAAGAGTTAGTGAGTCAGAGGATGATGGCCATTAGGAAATTCTAAACCAGACCACACTACACTTTGCTGCAAAGATACATGTGCATGTATGCAATGCAAATGTCCCGAAATGTGTGCACATACATGGCACCACATTTAGTGCACGGCTACCACAGTCCTTTAAATAATCAGATTTAGATGTCTTTCTTGTATAGTTGATAGAATTTGATAGGGTCAAGAAATATAGAACTAGTAGGCCAAAAACAGGCTGTGTGTCCTCTCCTCACTGCACGGTTTAGGTCTGAACACCAACTGATAAGAGAAAAACATTCAGTGAGTCAGACAGAAACAAAGTGTGGTGGTGGTGGTGGTGCGGGGGGGGGGGGGTATTGAAAGCAGAGAAAGACACCTAAAGCAAAAGAAGGGAAAGCAGGTTTGAAAGTCAGTTTACAGTCATTTCTGTCTAGACTCATTTGTAGCCATAACAGTTGACAATGCTTCAAATATGGATGTTGCTGCAAAGAAGCTACACATGCTATATGTAGTACACTATCTATTCATGGATGCTTCAGACACATCTTTCCCCCAGCAGCACAAAAGATCTATACAATCTGCACAACTTCAAGGTAAACACCCAAGATTACAGTCATCAATTCAATATCTGATGACCAGAAGTCCGACCCCCCCCCCCCCCCAACCAGAACATTATGATGCAACAGTGAAGTTGACCTCTGACCTTTTGGATATGAAATGCTATCACTTCATGGTTATATACTACTAGATATTTGTGTGTTTTGTTATAATTAGCATTTGAATTCTTGAATTATGGCCAAAAACATGTTGTGTGAGGTCACAGTGACCTTGACCTATGACCTTGACTTGACCAAATTCTATTCACTTAATTGTTCCTTGCAAGTGACGTCTGTGCCAAATTTGAAGAAATTCCCTCAAGGCCAACTTGAGATTTTTTGCATTCACAAGAATGAGACAAACAAAGCCATAGTGACCTTGACCTTTGACTACGAAAATCAAATCAGTTCATCCTTGAGTCCACCCAGATGTTCGTGCCAAATTTGAAGAAATTTCCTTGAGGTGCTCTTGGGATGTTACGTTCACAAAATGGAACGGATGGATGGACAACCTGAAAATGTAACACCTCCAGCCATGGCTATTGCCGATGGAGAAGCATTAAAACAGACAGACAGTTGGACAGAAACATAGAGTGAACATCTTGGAGTGTGTGGTGGATAATAATACTGTGTCTGGCTGGGTCTGGGTTCATGCTGGGCACTGAGGTTTGTTAGTTTGGGGAGAAGAAAGAAGAAACTCTGTTAAAGCTGCTGGACACCGGGCGAAGCTTCCTTAATTGGGGTGAGCCGTGTGGCGAAGAGTGTATGCTGCACATACTGCATAGACATGCCTTCACACATGAAGGGTGACTGTTTGCATATATCTATAAATGGACATTACAGAAACTGATGAGTTTGAAGCAGAGTGTATGTGAACATAAATGTGCATAGACACAAGTGTACAATGTACTCCTTGTGGAGATATGCACACAAAGACAGCTGGAGAGGTTCATCGATCCAGTGCACTCAACAGGCTTGTTCCAGGAAGGAGCTGGGTGAGACACGGTAAAGGCAGAACTTGAGATGCAGGGAGGATACAGCCACTGTAACACCAGTGGAAATCTCAAAAGGGAAACTAAACTGACCATTTCCACTTAATGTTTTTTGACTAACACTTGAAGGCAAAAGACTATTGATCATAGAGAGACAGAGCAGAAAAGAGGAGAGAAACATTTCCTTCTCTGCAAAGGTCTAAGCTGTAAAACACAAACCTGCACAGGGCTCAGTAAAAATGCTTTCATTTATCCTTAGTCTCGTTTGGAGCATGTGCCTCTTTCCTGCTTCTTTTCACTCCCAAGCAATATGTCAAAAAATGAAGCACTTTGATGTTTTAGATTGACAGTAGGTAACAATCCGTTAGAAAGAAATCAAAACATTTGGCAACATATTGCAGTTTCTGAATGAAAGTGCAATTAAAGCTGACAACCTATCCACAACATCAACAAAACGGTGGCCTATATACACACTGATTGTGTCTGGAGTGGCTACTGAGGTGTGTTTTGCCTGGAACAGTTCCAATACATACCACTGCTGTCTCAGTTGGATATGCAATCAATTCCTGCTCTCATTATAGGGTTGTGTGAGTGCTGCAGTGATAAAAATGAGGCAGTGACTCATAGCACAGGAGAGAGGAAGGAAAACACTGAGACGAAAGAGCGAGTAAGGACACAAAGAGGAAGATGAAATGAAAGGGAATGCAAGAGGAAGAGAAAAAGTTGGAGATTGGAGATGTGAAACAGCTGAGGAGACATATCTGTCACTGAATGGAAGGGAGAATGAGAGAAGCAGTGTGGTACAAAGGTATGGAAAGCTCATTGCTGATACATGTCTAAAAGTGACATACAAAGTGCCTTCTGATCAAAACTAGACAAAAGTTAGCTGAAAACTTCAGCGCTACTTGAGCCAACATGGTTGTGCAAGTGCAGCAGGCAAATGTACAGTCGCTAACAAAGCTAAAGCCTCACACAGATAAGCCTTGATTTACCCTCAGATAACTAGAAGACCTGCTACAGTGCTAAGGGCCTGACTTTATTGTATTCAGCTAAGACCTCACTAACCAATCAAATCCTAATCCTTAAACAAAGCTTATAATCATAAAGTGGATTTCAGGATCTATAGTACATGACACCTTTGATAAAGGAGGTTTCTTCATATTAATCAAGCACACATACCTTTTGGTAACATTTGCAACTAGAGTTGAGCAATATGGAGAAAATCAAATATTATGATATTATTGACCAAATAACTTGATATCAATTATTGCTACAATATTGTATTGTATTGACTACTGGCGCTTTCACATAATGTTTAGACAATGAGATCTTAATAATCAATCGTCAGTAGCTCTTTTTAAACAGACAGTGCTACAGGGCCGCTACAAAGTCCCTTCTTTACGGCACCTTTGAGTTTTTACACAGAACCAAACAATGGTGGCACCGTGCCGCCTCAGTGTGTGATTTCAGATAGCATGCCAGCATCCTGGAAATAGAAGAGGCGTGACGGGGGTAATATTAAACACTACAGCGTCAGCCTCTGGCAGTGCTCTATAAGCAATAACAGTGGCATAACAATAACAATAATTTACCATCTCTGTTATATAGTAGCTGATCTCTTCCTCTGCTTAGAGGGTAAGGACCTCCAGGATCTCATTGTTTTCCCAATTTGTGGACATTTCTGTTTGCTGTTCTTCTTTGTGTTAGCGGCTAGCTACTTTGTAAATCTCTCCTGTTGGGTTGCACGCATAACACGTCATCAAAGTGTCACACCCGTCTTGTCCCTAGTCCTGTCCTGCCAGCTGTCCCTTTCATACAGACATCAAAACTGGTGCTGGTTACTACCTCCGCGGCCGGTTTAAAGGCGACACCTCTGGCAACTCTGTGCCCCCATTCCACAATCGTACCTTTTATACAGAATGGGAAGGAAGAATAACAGTGTGATATTCCTGCCTTAAACAGGCAGTGTGGAAAGGGCTAGTAATGTGGATGTAGTGATTAAGTGGGTAAAGATAACAGCAGAGCAGCTAGAACAGTCTGGTTAAGTATCACATCACTTGACTGTTATGCAGACTTTAAAACCAGAAGAAGAAAATGTAGACGAAGATGACATCTACTCTCACATCACAATATTGATATAACAGTGATTTACTGCCCAGCCCTACTTGCAACTGCCCAATACTGAACTCTGAGCAGTATCACTGTTGGTCAGACCGTCTGGCAGCGGCCGTAGAGGAGGGGAAGGTTTGTACTTTAATTTCAAGAGATCAGAGCCCACAAGTAAAGTGCATGTCTCTCTAACCTCGAGGGTACCGCTGCCTGACAGGCTGAGTGGGTGTAAATGCACATTAGGCTCCACTGTGATGCACAGTAAATCTCATTTTGCCTTTGCCCCCTGAATGGAGCAGTTATTGTTGTTATAGGCTATGGTTTTACTATTGCTCACTTATTGTGGCTGATAAAACACAAGTTTTTGGCTTTACTATTGCTGTAATCAAAAGTGGTTTGTGTGTTTTTTTACCTCATGAATTTCCATTTCTAGGTTTACAAACTCCTATGGAAAGTTGCATGATGTCAATGCTGATTCACATGTAAACGAAAGTCTTACCACAGGCAATGAATCAGAACATGATGATAAAGTGATCCTTTCCGCTGCCTTGTATTGTGTGTGACAGTGTTGTTTTTAACACAGAATAAGGTTGGAGAGCATGTCAGAATCATCCTGACAAAGCCCCAGTACTGTGATCTGCTTAGTCACAGCAGGACTAGAGAAAGAATGGGAGTAGAGGCCAGTCATGAGACAAAAGGTCACTTGTGTCCACGTGTTTACATGCAGTAGATTGCAAAACTTTTTACCCTTTTTGACCTTTCACACTACTTCTTGTGCTGCAAGACTTTGAAAATGAAATTATTTGGATTTTTATCTTAATTGTCACTGCCACACTAACTTCATTTCACATATGTTTAAGTTAGCAAGAGGTTGTTGCACAGACACTGTTAAGGATCTGATCACATTTTTAAAAGTGTCGCATGTGTGGAAATTCTGCTTTCTTTAATGAGTCAGTTACATCCCAGGAGCAATGTTTTATCTGGCCAGGAGAAGAGTTGCAAATTTCATCAATTTTGTGTGTTTGAGTGTACAAACCATTATCCAATGTGTGAAAACGTTTGTGTGTGTATTTGATGGCATATTGTACATGCATATATATGCTCTTTAGCTAATGCACAGACTCAGGGGGCCAGCTTACCATCTCTACTAACCAATTCCTGGGGGAAACCCGAGACTTTAACACCTTCATACAAGTAAACTCTATAGCAATTGTATCCCGATAGACAACTAGCTTGCGTTACCACCTGTTTATCTTTGTTATCTCTAAAAAGCACACAGCTAACTGACTGGCAGGCGATCGGTGTAGGGGTGTTGCGCTTTCAAACATAAGAAGAACCCATGTGTGCTTTGTGGATAAGCACATTCTGAAAAATAAATGGAGTCTTCACAGAATATTGCACACAGAGCTCAATGTGCCACACAGTCAGCATTACAGGCCAGACATGTAAGTATCACTTTACAGAAGTCACTGAGTGTGACTACTTGTGTGTGTTAGAAATTGATTTTTCTCTTACCTCGGTAGTCAATGGTGGGTTTGGATGCCTGGAGGATTCTGGGTGTGGACGAGCCCATGTCCAGTTCTGTCAGGGTTAGCTCATTCATGAAGTAAGGCAACTGACAAAGACAAAAGCATACAACTGAGCTAAGCACACTGTGCATGAGTAATTCATTAGCAGTTTATGATCTATCCTAATTTGGAAAAAAACAAACTGTAGTTTATAACTACTAGTCCATACCCGGGGATGTGTTATGTATAGAGGAATAAGAAATCAAAAACAGTATATTAGAGGAAATGCAAAATCAGAGCACTGCAAATGCACTGTTTAATAAATGTTCATGTAAGATACACAATGCACACTGTATTTAGAAACATACTTTATGGCAAAATACATGTAGCATAGTTTTGGCTGACGGCACGGAGGCACGTGCATGCGTGGGGCCGTGCGTGGGCACACAGGTATACACATACAGGTTTCGATCTGCAAGTGTTGGAGATGTAGGCTTCCCAGCCAAACTGTGGTCCCATCATATGCACAGCTCGCGCTGCTAATGGTGCTGACAGTATGAATGGGTAGTGGACAAAAACGCGAATATAAACATAAATAGAAATATGGGAAAAATGCAAAAACGGCATCGTGGCTGTCTGCACATGACCAAGATGAAAGCCTATGTCTAAGTTCAGAGAAGTAGGTCAAAGCAGTGAGGAGGAAAACGGATGATGACAGACAGACGGACGGACAGACAGAGGGAGGGACAGAGATTTCTCCATTTAATAGTAGGATAATAGTAGGATATATCTTTCAAAGAGTATAAAGGATGCCAGCTTGAAAAAAAGGAAAGAAAATATATAGACAGAACTATACAAGACACAAACTGCACTACATAATTAGCACCATAGAATAGGAAGCACCAAAATATTCATGACTGCATAACTGATTCTTAAGTGGTCTAAATCAGGATTCAATTTGAGCTCTGTGGGTAAAGAATTCCACATGGTAACTCCACGGACAGAAAAAGCTGTTGGTCCAAAAGACAATTTTACACAGGGGAACCTTACAGTTCCTATGAGCTGCTCCACACGTTAATGAGCCGGAAGCTCTAAGTGGATCCACAAGGTCACTGAGAACTGGGGAGCCTGATTATGTAGGCATTTATTTATGAGTTTGAAACTGGTGAAATTAATGAAATTATCAAAACTTAACATATTCAGTTTCTGAAGAACAGGGCAATGATGTGCTCTTATTGGTTTCCTGATTTTAATTGCTCAATTGTATATCATCATAAGAGGTTTAGTGATTGTAGAGACTGCTTGTGATCAAGAGGTTACACAGTAACTTAAATGTGAAAAAATCAAAGCATGCATGAAACTGTTTGCAGCGTGAAATAGTAGACAGTCTCTGGTAAGTCTAAATGTATGTAAGTTTGCTTTTGCAACCCTGCTCACCATCTTAACATGCTTCTCGAATTTTAGTTGTTAATCTATTATGAGGCTGAGGCAGTTTACCTCTGAGACCTCTTCGATATGCTGTCCATTAATATTTAGATTTAAGACATAAGCATCTGTTTATCAGTGAGACTGTATCGTCTTCTGCATACATCTGAAAACATGCTCCAACACATGATTGTGGCAAGTCATTTATGTATAAGCTACAAAGAAGCGGACCAAGAACAGAGCCCTGAGGTGCTCCTATTCTAGCCTGTAAAAAACAGAGACTTCTCATTATTAATGACAACACACTGTTCTTGGTTAGACAGATAAGATAAAAACCACTGTGACATTTTGTTAGAGAAATTAAATTTGGAGAGTTTATGAATGAGGATACCATGATTTAAAGTAACAAAAGCTTTTTTAGATCCAGGAAGACTGCCCCAACATCTTCTCCTTTAGCAACTGATGATTTGAGCTGTTCTATAAGAAAGCAGTTAGCAGTCTCTGTGGTATAACTTGGATGGAAGCCAAACTGTAGGGGATGTAGACAGTAGTTTGATTCTACATAAATGAACAACTGATGAGCGGCAACTTTTTCAAGGACCTAACTGGACCTAACACTAACTGACCAACAAATACAAGCCTGATCAACTATTCCTGATTTAAAAATAGGTATGACTCAGGCTAGTTTATTATTTACTGGGAAAGATCCCACTTGTAAAGGAAAAGTTGATTAGATGAGTGAGAGGTGTTGCCAAAGTGTTCTTTCAGAAAGGCAGTATCCAGGTGGAAGAGATCTTTTGAGTGACTATTGGCAATTTTATCTATTATTGCTAGGACTTCAGTCTGATTTGTTTGTTGTAATGTTAAGACATTATCACATACATTATTTGGGAAAGATAGCTCCACACTGTGAACTTTAAAAGGTATTGGCAAGCTCCTCTACAGAAGAAACAAAAAAAAATATTGAATGCACGAACAATTTGGCTACTGTCAGAAACTAACCGTTCACAATTTTCAATTAATAATTTTTTTATTAATTACTTTTATTAAACTATTTATTTGTTTCCAAATAGCAGAACAATTCCCTCTGGCCTCTGTGATAACCAAGAAATAATACTCAGCTTTAGCATTTCTTAATTCTTTACAAACATGGTTTCTTGATCCCTTATATATAGTCATATCATTATTTAGGCAGCTTCTTATTGCAGTTTGTAGAGCTAGATCCTGTTGTTTCATTTGTTTTCGAATGGACTCATTTACCCAAAGTAAAGAGGATTTTCTGTTTGAGTTGCTAGGCTTTATTAGAAACTTAAAACTGAAACTGTGTACATCATCCTTATCCTTAACCCTGTCCCAGTGCATTTCATGCAGTTCACCCTCCAAAGACGGGAGATCACTTTTTAGAATAGTTAGCGCAAAGTTTCTAGAATGACTGAGAGTTGGGAGGCGTTTTTACATCAACTTCCTTGATGTTAAAATCACGGAGTGATCAGATAAGCCAGTTAAGAAACTATACGATTTAGTTATCTTTTCTTCCTTTTTACAAAAAAATTAGATTAATTGGTGACCTGCTAGATTTTGGGATTCTTGTAGCACCTTAAATAATTCTTTTAAGTGGCAGGCCACTGAAGACTAGCTAGGTTAGTTAGCTGTCTTGGTAGGTACATCAGGGTTGGGGTGCCTCAACAACTTGTTTCCTAGTTTTTGGCACTTTACAGAGCAACTTGATTGTGATTTTGTTTTGCTTGAGATGACTAGTTTCTGTTTGGTCACGGTTTTGTGTAGCTGTGATAAATACTTGTGTGGAGTAACTTGTGGTTTGTGACCATTTGGGTTGTGGTCACTGCACTCCACATTTGTTAGGTCACTTGTGGGTTGCTGCTTAGGTGTAAGTTAGCAACATTTGTGTATTGGTTGACTACATTGTGACCACTGACCCATTCTGTGCTGCTGTCCCTTCTCCCTCCTTTGTAGATCTGCCCAGTGCTGCACCTAGTTAACTAATGCAGCACACCTGGCATGGAGGAGGTGCTTAAGAGCTCCTGCACCAGAAGCAGAGGAGAGAGGCTCTGGTGTGGGGACTGCTGGTCCTGCTGCCTCTCACCATGGGGTTTTTGTTGTCTTGTTTGCCTGTTTTAATTCTAATAAATCCCATGGATTTATTAGAATAAAGTAGTAGCTTCTTTTTTTACATCATCTCTGTTTTTCACTTTGACTTTTTCTCTTTCTGGTTGTTTAAATTTCAACCGCTTTTACAGTGAAAGGTTGTAAGGGGCTTTGCTCCACTTACCCGAATCTTGCTGAGCTTTAGCTGTATCTTCTTGGAGACCAGCTCAGCCCAGTAGGGCTCGCTCAGGAAGTCCCAGAAGACCCGGCCAAGAGCCGCATTCACCCAGGCAACAGTATCCTCCTCCTCCTGCTCCCCCTCCTCCTCCCTGGGCTGCACCTGAGCTAAAGTGGTGCTCTGCAGCTTAAGACACAGCAGGCAAGTTAACAAACATTAGGAGAAAAGAATACGGATCTCATATCTTTGAACAGGATTCTAAAACATTTAACCCCCTAAATTGCGACCTATTTTATCCCTGCAAATATTCATGATAAGCCACAATAGCAGCTACTTGCTGTTGTTTGTTATTACACAGCTTGTAACACAGTAAGGTTAAATTTAAAATGACATGAAAAGTTAATCACCTAAGAAAGGAAAAGGTGTTAATAGTATAAATGGAGAATGAGTATGTTTTACCTTCTTATCAGCCCCAGGGCTGCTCTGAGGACTCTGGAGAACAGGGCTGGCAGCTGTAGGGCTGACGACCACCTGTTTTGGCAGTAAGGAGGCCATGTAGACATTGTAGTCCAGTAGCAGTTTGCTTCTGGCACTGCTTGCTGTTGTTGAGGAGACTGAGGAGTCCTTTGATCTGGGCAGAGATGCCAGTGCCTCATCCAGACTGCTGCGGCTGCTGCTGCGACTGTGAGAGCTTGGAGCTGTGGGCAAACATTGGAGAAAAGTGAAAAATTAGACAATGCACTCAGGTTTTGTCACCGTTTCTGAACCACTAAAACTTAAGATTAGAAGTACCATTTCTCTGTCTGTATAACGTATCAATATATCTGTATAAAAACATATACATACATTTAGACAAATTTAGCCTTAAAAAAGGCAGAATAAGAACAAATACAAATGTTAAAAATTGTCCTCTGCACTTGCCGAAGGAGACAAATGTCTTGCAGACAAAAACATCAATTCCACTCACCACTTTTACTTCCTGCAACACTTGGACCTTTCTTCAAGTCCACCTTGAGCTTGGAAGCTGATAGAAACCTCTGGAACCACTCCTCCTTCTCCCTCCCAGTCCTTCCAAACAGATAGAGGGTCAGGTCTCGACTGAACAAAGTTGACCCCCCTCGTTCCTGTGCTCCTCCTGTCCCCTCTCCTCTGTCCCTTGTGTTGAAGCTCTCACTGGACTCCCATCTGTCACCTTCGGCCTTGGACATGAAATCATCCTGTTTACCAAGTTCAACGCATATGGGGTATTTTTTGTTCCATATACGCTTCCTGGCCAGGCTCTGAGGCATTAAATATACCTGGGGGAAGATGACAAGAGGACAGACCTGAGTAAAACCAAGTTTTGACCAAATTTCATGGCTTTTTAGAGACAAGTTAGAACAGTTTCCATACTGTAGTATTTGTCATTATCCATATTAATGGGCAACATTTTTTGTAAGACAACAGACAAGACTTAAATAGACTTAAATGAATTTGTGTTATGCTTCACTTCACTGATCTATTTCAACAGGAAACTACAACTGAACTCAGTTACAGGAAGACTAGAGAAACAATTATCAAATGGCTATTTTTAAAATTACAACATACTTTGCTGTTGGTGAGATCATAGATCTTCTGACTGATGTAGGTCACATCAGGTTTTGGTTCATTGTGAGAGGCACGGCGGGGGATGTTGTGGTTGGGCTTAGACAAACGAATGATGGAGCCCTCCAACCGAACATACACAGACTGTGTCAGTGTGGCATGGTATGTCTCTGGGTCATAGTTTGATATCTCGTTCATCCAGCCCTGGAGGGAAAACACAATTATTTTACATATGGCAGATTACTTTGCAAGGATTGAGTCCCAAAACAATCATACTTGCTACTGCAATTTCTGTGTGCTGTGTATGCTTTTCAACAAAACGCAAACACAAAGAAGATAACAATCCAAAACTGTGCCTGGAAAATGAAGACACTGTAAGTACCTGCTCACACTGTGTTTTCAGCCATGTAACCATGCCTCTATGAACTTCACTGATAAGAGTGTGTGCTGCATCCACTGTCTTTTCGAGTGCAGTTTGTTGTCATTTGCTTTGTGTGGTAGACTTTGAAGTTCCTCTAACTAAACTCAGCCCAGGACCCACGTTTAGGTCATTTGCTGCTTTGCCATTTCAATAAAAAAAGTGTCACAGAAATCTTAAATCATCTTAAATTACATGTTCTTCACAGGACTCCATATATATAATGGCATTATAACGTAAAATTCTCCTATATTCTCAAGGTTCATGTAGTATATATTTTTTCATAGTTTAACATCACAACTCTGTGGTATGTTACTTAAATGTATAAATTTAGCATGGCACAGTTACTGGTAATTAAAATGTACTTCTAAATTGCAGATAGGTGTGAATGGAAGCGTAAATTGTGGCTGCACAATATCCCAGAAAAATCATATTACAATTATTTTAACCTAACCTTTAACCTATTGCGACTGTGTTATGAGTCAAAATTTTAGTGGGAATGGTACATTTTGCATTTCATTTCCACTAGAAAAAAAAACAAAAAACAAAATGATGATATGTATGTATGTATGTACACTGCCTGGCCAAAAAAAAAGTCGCCACCTGGATTTAACTAAGCAAATAGGTACGAGCCTCCTATTGGATAATTACTGCATGGGCGATTATCTTTCAGCTGGCAACAAGTTATTTAACCCCAACTGGTGCAATGAGTTGCTTCTCATTTCCTAAACAACCATGTCGAAAGACACATCCCGTGGTCGTGGAAAAGATGTTAGTCTGTTTGAGAAGGGTCAAATCATTGGCATGCATCAAG